CCATGATCTCCTTCAGTCTCTTCAGGACGGTGCGCAGCTGGACGGCGGTGCGAGGGTCGTGACCCCCCAGGGGGGGCTCCGTCTTGCGCCGCCCCTCTGCAGAGGCACACGGGAAGCAAGCGTCAGTGTGGGCCTCACTGGCTCACAGATTACACACCCTGCTGCCATGTGCAGTGCACAGCAAGGCCTCAACACCACTTTCCACTCCACAAACAAGGAGCAGAACAAGGAGCAGTGAGGATGAGGAGGGTTGGGCTGCCGTCAAGAGGAAGCAGGCTGTGTCACGGTGTTGAAGCCCGTTGTTGACAAGAAGTATGTTTATCTTAAACGCAGAGGTCGCACAATTATGGAAAACAACGATGCAGCCACAAACCCGGCTATAACCAAGCAGGATGAAAACATCTGGTCGCCCTGCAAGATTATCCGTGATCGGCAGGCCGTGCAACATGGCTGAAGAAGTCCGACTGCGCCCACGGCCCAGCCGGGGACCTGCGGGAGGAGAGGAGCGCCGTGCGCCCGGGAAGCCCGCGGTAATGGCGGTACCTGACGCGGTGGAGGTGCGCCGGTGCAGCTCGGGGGCGTGGGACTTCCTGTGAGAGCCGGAGGCACGGAGAGGGGGTGAGGGGGCAGACCAGGACGCCCGCGCCCCCTGCAGGGGGCCCTGGACAGCCTCGGGCTTCTCCACCGCCGCAGGGGCCCGGCCCTCATCTGGACACAAACCGGGGGACACGTCAGCAGCACAGAACAGGGCCCACGAAAGCAGCCAATCCCAGCGCAACTTTAGTGTATATAGCGCCTTTAAAAGTGGACTCTCAGAGCTCTTTACAGAGAGGAAAAAAAGTACACAGTGAGTGGAAACAGCAGAATTCAACTGTTCCAGTGAGGGCTTGGAACACAGAAGGAAAGCAAAGGGGCAGACATGGAAACAGTTCAACACAACTCCCACGCTGATCCATTTCAGGGTTGTCAGCTCCCGGGCATTTTCACATGTACACAACAGAACAAATGGAGAAAACCAACAGGCAGGCTGCAAGTGCACACAGCACGCACAGATCTCTCGGTATTCACACAGCAAAAAGCAATAGCAGAGCCCGTTCAGGACAGTCGAAGGCTCGGTCTCCAGCTGCAACTGACAGGCTGTGAAGCGAAGACATGGGCAGGAAGGCTGCTACATCAGACAGGAAATGGGAAAAAAACACAGGTGCACACAGAGCCAATAGGACAGCAGTGTGCTATATATGAAATACCCCAGGGACACATCCAGAAATTTGTTTTTGCATAAACTGCACCTCTACTGTGAGCTGCAAAAGAGTAACGACAGAGAGTGGAAAACTTAACAGTCTCTCCCTCCTGCATTAAGCAGACAGAGACGCACAGTTTCACAAGACGTTCTGCAGTTCTGAGGCTGAACTGACAAATTCATGCATCTTTCTACCAGAATAACTCTTGGCTCTCAGCCTTTATCGACACGGCAGCTACCAACATTTAGAAAAACGAATACTTGTATCCATTTGCTTATTCTGTTTTTCAATACTGCATTGTAATAACATTATTTCCCTTTTCACATGCATCACAAAGAAGATCAACAGTGAAAAGGGGGAAGCAAGTAGACAATTTGCTAGTAGTAGACAAAATTGATGGATCAAAATTGTCTACTTTTTACTCTTTGTTCAAATTCTGCCTGCTGCATCTTTCTCACTTCTTTGTTACGGAGAGAGAGATCCTACATCTCTTTCCCATGTTAACCATCTTTTTTTGCAAATACAAGCCGTTGATTTCTAATGATAAAAGTGATTTCTCCATAAGATATATCACACCCATTGAGACCTTCTGCATTCGACCCCTTGGTCTATCTGCTTGTACTTTTCCTAGGGGCTGTGGCAGACAGACAGCAGAAAAGGCCACCCTGTTACACACACTGCAGCTTCTCCAGTGAGGGAAGCTCGAGCACATGATACTCATTGAGATGTCATCCTAGTCACACCCCCGAGCACATGACATTCATTGTGATGTCACCTTAGGAACACCACCCCCATCACATGACCTCCCCCCCCGGCAGTGTGGCTCAAGACCAGATAATCAGCTGGTGAGAAATCTGGAGCAGCGTTGGAGACTACTCACAGCACACCTCCCATTCACTCTGCATCGGGAAGAAAACAAAGCCTTTCAACTTTAAAAGCAGGCATCCATAACAAGCGTACTGTTCTTCGATA